ATCTGTGAAAATGTAATGAGAGGACCATGTTTTTGAACTAAAAAGATGCACAATTTGTTCAGATGACAATGCATCAGCTGGATCCCGATATTGTTCGGTGGGGCCTTCACCTCATAGATGTTTGGCCTGTGGCTGATGAACGCTCTCCACAAACGATCACTTGTTATGAAGAGGACTTGTCCAGAACAGACTCTGTGAAGGAAGGTTTTTGCGAGCGTGAAAATTCTGTGGTGGAGAATGATGAAGTAATAGCTCAAGCTCTTCAGGAAGAATTATCGAAGCTTGCTGATGCGGAGGCATCTGGATCTTCGACTTTTGAGGAACAAAATCAGAAGGCATCAATTCTTGCTCAGGATTGGCTTGGTCCTTCAAAAAGGCACATGAGTTCTGGTATGTAAAGTCAATGTTACAGTAGTTTTTAGCTTCTGGCTAAGCTTGTAAACAAAGCGATTTTTTTTTTTATTTGATTCGATATTCGAAAGTTAAATGAATCCGAATCCGAATTTGTAGGTATTCAATTCGAAATTATCCAATATTCTAATCGTTAAAGATAATTATATAAATTTTATAAATTATATATAGTATACATTTTGTTTATAATATTTATATATATTGTTATATTCTTAATATTTTTATGACATAAAAACATAAACTATTTACCCTGAAAACATCTCAAAAAATTGGATAGGAAAAACATAAACAATATTTTTTTAGTTATAATCTTTTTTTTAAATAATTATAATATTTTTCTGAAAATGAATTTCGAATCGAATATGTTCGAATATTCTAAACGAATCGGATACGAATAAGAAAATGAGTTCGTTTACAAATCGAATACGAATTCGAATCCTCTAATATTTTAACGAATCCGAATTGAATATCTTAGTATTCTCTTTGATTCGATTCGTTTACAATGCTACTTCTGGCTAGAGGGAGGAAAAAAAAACAAGAAAAAAAAAAGGAAAAGAACTGAAGAAAAGTAGTTTTCACTAATGTTTTGTTTCACATGGGCACTTTCTGGGTTTTCATGTCTCTGTTGCTACAACAATTTCGTTTGCAGATTGTCAGAATAATTTAGGAGAAGCAGGAAAAGATGGACCACTTATATCGGAACTTGAAAATTTGTCAGTCGAGGACAAAGATGAAGATCTCTTACCAGAGATGGACAGTGAATTAGGTCTTGATGGTGAAGTTGGCAAAAGGCTGAATCAGATGGTTCCAATCCCTGTAAGTTTTGGCTTATTGGTTGAGATTCCTTTAATATACAGAGGCATAACAGCAAAAATACACCTCTTATTCTTAGCTTAATTACCAACAGTTTAGTTTTCCTTAAAGAGATATTGCAAATAGAGGGTAATTGTAGCTTGTGCATCTCTTATTCAGTGATGGATCACAGTTTTTATTATTGACTTGGGTTTTTACCATCTTTCTTGTGACTATTGCAGCATGTTCCTAAAATTAACGGAGAAATACCATCTATTGATGAAGCCTCGTCAGATCATGAAAGGCTTTTGAACAGGTCTTTGATGCCATGTTGTATATATTCCTTTTAGTCGTTTATTATTTTTTTCGTAAATTTGCTAATTTGTGATGGCTTTTCTGACTGCTTGTTTAGTTACTTTCTGTAGCTTGTATATATACCGTTTCTTGAAATATTCTGAAATTAAATTTCTCGTTCACCCAATCTAACATGATTTTTCTGCCTTTTGTGGTGCTTCACTTTTTTCTTTTTCTGGAGATTTAACAATTTATTTACAAATGCAATTTGTAGTTGGTAAGGTAAACTAAAAACGTTAATGAACTTACAGGATATATTTCTACAATTTCCTGTTTTCTGAAATACATATACGTTATTACGCAAGCATCGATGAACAACAATTCTAGTTAACTCTAGCTTTTTATGTATATCAGATTACAGTTATATGACTTGGTCGAACTCAAAATTTCGGGAGATGGAAATTGTCAGGTTTGTTTGTTGACATCTCTGTACTTTACCTGCTTGTCATGATGGTATTAGTAATTTCAAAATGCTCGCTGCTTGATATTTTATTGGCAAAATTGCATTTTTAGTTTAACGCCATAGTAATTTTAGACCCAAGATTCCAACATTTTGTCTTTTGGTCCTATGACTATATTTTGCTGCAATTTTAATCATTTGATGATTTGAGTACTGAAATTGCAACAAATTTTCAGATTTTCGATTAGCAATTTAAGTCCTGTAATTTAAAATTTTGTTCCAATTTTAGTTTTATAATTTATTGGCAAAAAGTTGGAACCTTGGGACTAAAACTATTATGGCTTTAAATCTACAGGACTAAAAATGCATTTTTTCCTATTTTATTGTATGTTTGCAGTACTCTTAGTAACTTTACTGTTTTTCTCAGTTTCGGTCATTGTCGGATCAGATATATCGGAGCCCAGAGCATCACAAATTCGTGAGAGAACAAATAGTGAACCAGGTTTGCTTTGTTATTGTTTCTTTATTTAATTATGGTCCTTGCCAATAAAAATTCGATCTTTTCATTGCATAAAACACTTATTTTTCCAATGTTATGCCAACTTTCAGCTGAAGTCACGAGCTGAGTTGTACGAAAATTATGTCCCTATGGCTTATGGTGAATACGTGAAGAAAATGAGCAAGTATATATGGCATTTCAATTTTATTAGCATATATGTTTCGACAAGTGAGGGTTATTTGTTTAATTAAATTTGCATTGACTTACAGAAACGGGGAGTGGGGAGATCATGTCACATTACAGGCTGCGGCTGATTGGGTATGATTTTTCGTGTATTTTTATCTTGCTTTGGATTATATCTTTTAATCGTTTTGTCTTCTTAACTAATACGTTATTATATCATAGAATAGTTTCAGGCTTTTGATACTCACTCGTAACAAATATATTATGGAATGTGAAATCTGTAGCTAATATAACTAAGCATTATTTCCTCAATCAGATAAATAGTCTGATCAGCGAAAAACACGATGGTTCTTTTTTTTTTTCCTTTTAACTCAAGCTTCTTTATGTTTCCAATTCTAAAATTAGTTCCATTGATGTACACAAATTCATGTTTGCTGAATGAAAATTAATAATTAATTGTTACGACCACCAGCAACTTTCTACTTTTCGACTTCTACTGCTGAATTAAAGCTGCCTTATGTTTTTCCAAATTGTAGTTGCTCGGTTCTGATTTTATCTGTGTTTTTCTTTTTTCAAATGAATGTGGAAAAGCAGTACGGGATCAAGATTTTTATCCTAACATCATTCAAGGATACATGCTATATAGAGATTCTTCCTCAAACTCAGAAATCAAACAGAAGTACGTCGAAGAACATTTTATTTCTCTTTAATTACACAG